ATTCCTGCTCCCAGGCAGTAAATATAATGTTGAAAAACCACAAAATCCTACCAACTTGGCCCAGTACAAATTACTAGCACTGACTCAACATTCACTGCTGCCTGGCAACTCCTAACTCCTCTCCCTTCTCTGGCACCAAATCTCCTGAGAAAGTGAGCCCCATCCTACGTGAGCACCATTTCCCCTTCTCTTCACCTGAAAATATCTGAGTCTGCATTATCTCCTTTCCTTTCTTAGAGGAAGGAGGATATCTCCTCCTGCTCACCTCTCCTGGCATCTCCTCTCCCTGTCTCCCTCCCACCCACCACTCTTCACCCAGCAGCCAGAGCAATTTTGTGAAAATGAAAACCAGGTCAATTCACACCCCTGCGTACACACTGCCTTCTATTACTCCTAGAACCATATCCCAACTCCCTATCAACGTTTATAAGACCCCATGTGTCCTGGCCGCTGCTCCAGCTCTAAGCTCAAGCCATGTTCCTGACCAAGTCAAGCTCTTTCTGGTTTCTGAGCCTCTGCACATTTTGGTGCCTTGCTGAAGGCTCTTTCTCACCCATCTAGTTGGTTCCTTCTCCACCTACAGGCCTTGGTTTTAATTAATGTCACTTCCTCTGAGAAGTCTTCCCTAATCACTCAAGCTAAAGGTGACCCCTACCCTTTCTCTCCTAACACCACGTTTCCTGTGACATGCTCCAAAGGCACCACTGAGTTCCTACCTTTGCACTTCTAACAAACTCCAGGTGATGCCGCTGCCGCTGGTCTAGGACACGCTGAGAACCACTGCCCTAGAGCAGCCACCAGTTTAAGGGTCTCAGCTGCTGCACCAGCACCGGCAGCACAAGGGCAACTTCTTACATTCCCAGGCCTCCTCTGGAGGAGGAGGAGCCACAGGGCTCCTTCCTGACTTTCATCTTTCCCACTGTAGTGCTGACAGACTTCCCTAAAAGGTGTCTTACACGTTCCTAAAACACAGTCCTGCCTTGGCTCTCTTGCCCCTCAAGGACTCATCCTTTGGTCATCCTGTCCATATTCTACAGATGAGGGAGGACGCCCAGGGCACTGGCATCAGAAAACTAGGGCCCCCATCCCAGGAACTCTCCTTTCCAGGCTGGGTGACCATGGGCACGTCAGCGTCTCTGAGTCTGTTTCCTCATTAGGAAGGTGTGGAGAAGAGTAAGTAATGTTTTATAACACTTCTACGGCGCTTATGAACCATATTAGTGCATGATTTGTAGATGACAAAGACTGTCATGAATAAAAATATTTAATTGTTAACTAAATTCCATTTTTCACGCTTTGGGTTACCCACATACTGTACTACTGTGTAAATGTGTAATTTTTTCCTTTCGAGTTCCATTTCTATGCTGCTCTTTTTGAAGAAGTGTAATTCTTTTGCCCATATTTAAAGTGCATTATTATAGTATATATATTGAAGAAAGAAATAAAACTTGTGCCCATGGATGGAAGTTATTTTGGAGCATCTGAAGTATTTGTAGTGAAATCAGCGATCAAACACTTAAAATGCAAAATGTTGGTGTTCATTTTATAAACAACATTCCCAGCTGTTTTGTGTAACATCTCATCTAGACTACTGAACTGAAAAATTTAAGTGCAAAGTGTAGAGTGCACATGAAACACATGTAACCAAAGTAAAAAAATTAAAGCCCTTCACAAATAATTACTTAATCCCTTAATAACCTTATGAGGTAGGTGCTTTTTATCACCTTCATGTTACAAATGAGGAAACAGGTACCAAGAGGCTAAGTCCAAGGTCACCCCGCTAGTCGTGGACTTGAAGCCTGCTCCCACTGTTCTACGACACACCTACTTCGTGGAACTGTGGAGAATACTTTCACATGTAACATCTTACTTGGCACAAGACCCTGATGCTTTTCCCTCAAATTCCATAAGGGATGTTCCTTTATATCTAACTTGGAGATGTACCCAATGGCACCTCTTCAATCATCTTCACACCAAACCTTCACTTTTAGTGTAAAACTCATAATTGAGGTCCAATATTATTTGGCCAGAAAATAACTTCCCAAAATTAGACATCCCAACTTACGGTTCTTCATATTTCCCCCGGAACTGCACACATCTGACCATCCTCTCTCCAACTCCCACACCTGGCTCTTTCCATCTGTCCTTGCCTTGTATCCCTCTCTGTCGTATCCTAATTCAGGATTTATTAGCTCATCCGCACAGTGAAAGTTCTGGTGGCCCATCCCATAAGTCTCTAAAGTCCACCTTGCCCATCACTACCTGAAATCACCACCAACCAACCACTTGCCACTTGGGTTTTACTTTCCAAACCCATCTCTCCAATCTAACTCTAATAAGAAAAGTGGCCACACCAGCCATGTTCTCTCATTAACTCTCAAATAGTTCTTCCTTCTTTAGATCTGCCTTAGACCTGCTCTTTTCCTATGTTCCAAAAATGGCTCCCTATTCCTCATTACTAAAATCCTGGGACTTCCCTAGTGGTGCAGTTGTTAAGAATCTACCTGCCAATGCAGGGGACACCAGTTCAAGCCCTGGTCCAGGAAGATCCCACATGCTGTGGAGCACCTAAGCCCGTGTGCTACAACTACTGAGCCTGTGCTCTAGAGCCCATGAGCCACAACTACTGAAGCCTGCGCACCTAGAGCCCGTGCTCCGCAACAAGAGAAGCCACTGCAATGAGAAGCCCCCGCACCACAACGAAGAGTAGCCCCCACTCGCTACAACTAGTGAAAGCCTGCGCGCAGCAACAAAGACCCAACACAGCCAACAATAAAGAAATAATTTTTAAAAAAAACCTTACTATTTTTAAAGGTCCACTCTCAAGTGATCCCGCCAAATAATCAAGTTCTAGATAATCTTTCTCTTCTATGAGCTCAAGGCAACTTAGAATCTAGAGCACCACATATTTGGCAATTGATTGTATCACGCTATACACTCATGTCTTACTTTCTAAGTCTTCTCTATCTAGACTATTCATGAAGGAAGACCTTGTCTCTTCCCTTCTTGCATACTGCACGGTGCTGTACATGTTGGCTGATTTAGTAACTTTTGGGAGGATCAGCTCTCTGGTCCCTGATACCACGGCGGAGCTTGGATAGTGAGAAACCCGAATGTCCTAGTTGGAAGGGATGACTCACTTTCCTTTGTCCTTGTCGGAAGGGCTGTGGGAAGGGAGGGAGGCTCCTCAAACAGTGAGCACCATCTAAAGTGCAGTAAGACTGCAAGTTAGACCCACCTGTACTGGTGGGGAAGAGAGGATACTAACTGCTGCTAGTAAACTGAACAAAGCAAATCAAGAATAAGAACAGTTCCAGCTCCCACGAAATCTCCAAACAGTGACAGGGCGGCGCAACTCCTTTCCTTTATTTCTTCCCCTTGTAAAGGGCGATTCGAGTTCAGCAGCATTCCTTTCCTGCCCCCAAGTCCCCAACCAGACTAGAGACTGCAGGCACCAAATCCTGGGTGACAGCACAGGCCTCAGAACTCTCCTCCAGCTCTGAGCTGCACCAGCTGTTTGTATCAGTTAGGTCAGCATTAAATCCACCAGAAAAAAGCAGCACCACTCACAGAACAGGGCAGCAGCTGGGCCTGAAGCTTTGAGGCTGACCAGACGCAGGCTTCTGAGGACAGAGTCTCAGACAACTGGCCACATGAGCTTGGCTGGATGGAACTCCATAACAAAGGTCACCTCTGCTTGTACAGAGGGATTTCAAGGACAAGGCCAGCTCAGTTATCTGAAGAGAGCAATCAGACAAGTCTTTCAGAGAAGAGGAAGCAATCGAAGCAGTATCCTGGTCACATCAAGACCACACTCCGCCTTCATGTACCCGAGTAGCTACTGTGCCAGCTGCAGACCAGAGCAGACTTCCGAGTGGAGAGGAGACGAGGGGATGTCCAGGAAGGAAAGCTCACTCTCGGGGCCGGTTGACCATGACTTCACCCAGGGCCTCCAACACCTCCCGCTTGTAGTCTTCGAAGTCACCGTCGATCTGGCTAACACTCTGCTCCTCCACCACCCACAGCTGGCAGTTGGTTTCTGTGATAAGTCGGGCATCATGGCTGACGACGATCACAGCTTTGAAGAAAGATGGCGAGAATGGAGGGCAGGGAGGAAGGAGGAAGAGGGGGATCAGAACCTGAGAGGAGGGCGCCCAGCCGAAAGACACCACAGCCCGGTCCCCAAGGCGGGGAGGAGGAGGGCGCGCCCTGAGCTGACTCACCACCCTTGTATTCGTTGATGGCCTCCCCAAGAGAGTCGATAGACTCGATGTCCAGGTTATTGGTGGGCTCGTCCTATGGGGGAGGAGGCATCCCGTGACTGAGAGTTACGACTCCTACCTTTCCCTTCTGTCACCCTTGCCCCAGCCCTGCAGTCCAGCTCACTCACCAAGATGAGGACATCGGGCTCCCGACAGGACAGCTCTGCAAACACAACTCGGGCTTTCTGCCCACCTGTGGCAAAAGGAAAGGAGATCCACCACACCTTTCACCACCTGACATTTCTGCAGGTAAACCCTGAATGTGTGTGTGCGTGCGCATGCGCACGCGGTGAGGTCCCCCAAGTCCCGGTTCCTCTTTCCTCCTGCCTCTAGGGACAGACTGCAGGTATGAAGGCTAAGGACGGGGACACCTGCCCTGGCCCCTGGTACCAGAGAGTTTGCAGATCTGGATGGTGTGGGCATGACTCTCCAGGCCAAAGCGGCCCAGGCACTTGCGGGCATCCTGGTAGGGCAGGTTGAAGCCCCGCTGCAAGTACTCGGTGGGCGTCTCCTCCATGTGCAGCTGCTCTGCATACTGCTGGTTGAAGAAGCCAATTTTCTGCCCGAGAGAAGAGGGAGGTGGTCGGTCAAAGTCATACTTCCTCTGTCGGCCTCTCACTCCCTGATTCCCAAAGCCACTTACCAGCCGGTGGTTCTTCCTCATTTCCCCACGAGTCTGCAAGGAAAAAGCAAGGGGGGAGCTAAGGGGAAGGGGAAAGGAGCTGCAGCTCCACACCCCAACTTTTCTGAAGGGGAGCTAAACACCAGAACCGGGCTGGAACAAGCCAGCGTGAGAAAGGGAACACGGGCGTCTCCTGAACGTGACCAAGGCAGGCCCAGGAAATCAGAAGCAAGAGGAGAATGAAGAGACAGAAAGCAGAGATTCAGAACCAGGAGCAGACTGACCAGAAGTAAAGGACCCCTGTCCCCACCTCCACCTTCCAGCAAGATGTTTTCAGGGTTCCACCTCAGATGGGGATTAAGAGACAGTTTGTGGGAGGATCTAGAACACCTTTCTGAAGATCTACTCTCTGTGGGTGTGAGGCAACAGGCCCTCTCAACACTTTCTTAGAGGGCGGACAGATGGCTACAACCCACCTAAGCATTACAGAATGCCGCAAAAGTCCCCAAAGCAATTCTAGGGAATTTATCCTAAGGAAAACTAAATTCATGAACAGGTATAAGACGACTATTTACTATAGGTTTGTCCTTTAGTGAAAAATCTAAACGACTGACATCAAATAAACTATGGTAGATCCATACGAAATAAATGCACACATAGGATTACTGACATGGAAAAACGCTTGATGTACATTATCTGGAAAAAGCTGGCTACAGAACAATTCACACGATAGACCACTTTTTTTTAAAAAAGTTACATACACGCTTGTAAAGGAAAAAAAAAGGAGAAAGCAATCCATCAAAATTAATACAGGTTACCTCTGGAGTTTTCTTTGGCTTACGAAACTTCTTTTTCTTCCTTTTTTTTTCCAGCTGTGCTGCGCAGCTTGAGGGATCTTAGTTCACAGACCAGAGATTGAACCCGGGTCCATGGCAATGAAAGCTCTGAGTCCTAACCACTGGACTGCCAGGGAATTCCCTGGCTTGTGCAATTTCTAACCACTCTACAATGGGCATGTATTTCTTGCATAACCGAAACACATGGGGGGTGGGGAGGCGTGCCCCTAGCCTGGCCCCACTTCTCCTGGCTCTTCTCCCCGCCTGATCTAAACCGTCCTCTGCTACAGCACCTCTCAAGGAAGCGCACCATCCATGACAAGTTCTGTATTTAACTCTCCACGGCACAGAGGGGCCCCTGACTGCAGCCTCTGGGGAACAGCCGTGTGCTCACGCTTCCACTCGCTTGTCGCCGTCCCCCCTTCCTGGCTCCCGGACTCACCGGCGTCAGCTTGCCTGTCAGCAGCAGCAGCAGGGTGCTCTTCCCCACACCGTTAGGGCCCACGATGCAGACTGCCAGAAGGAAGATAAAGGTCACAGAGGCGAGGTCCCAGAAACTCTCCCCGGGGCTCCCGAGCCTCCCCTGCCAACTCACTCCTTGAGTCCATGTCAATGCCAAAATCCAGATTCTTAAAGAGTGGTTTCTGCCCCTCATAGCCAAACGTCACACCTGAGAGGCCAGGAAAAGAAGCACTTTATTTTCTCTTCAGAGTCCCCCAAGGGTGCCCTAAATGTCCTGGTGTGGAGGGAAGGTACGGCCGCGGCCGCTCACCGTGCAGGCCCAGCAACGGAGGGCTGAGCGGAGGTGGGTCAGGGAACGTGAAGCGCACGGTGTACTCCCTGGGGCGCTTCAGGAGCTCGGGGGCCTCCTGTGACTCCTCATCCTGGTTTTTCTTCCGGCACTTCTGCTGCTTTCGAGTCAGGGCTTCCTTTGTTTGCTTTTCCTGGGGAAGAAGAGGAAAGGGAGACACCCGCACCCTTCACAGAAGGCCTCAAAAGGCAGGCAGGGCCCGAGTCCTCCCAGGAAGAGTCAGGTGCTCACCGCCTGCTTGGTGGACTTGCCGCCCGCCTTTAACTCCTTCAGCTTTTTCTCCTGCTTCTCATACTGCTTCAGCAGTTCCTTCTGCTTCTGCTGGTACATCTTCTTGAAGGTCACTGGGGCAAGAGAGGGGAATGGGCATCAATGGTTGTCCCTCTCCCCAGCAGGACGGGGGAGGATGGGGGCAGGTGTCATTGTCTAGAATTCTGAAAGACTCAGAATTATCACCACAACGCTACAGGCCCTCCCTCTCAGGCCTTTCTCCAGGAACCACCCCTTTCCTTGCCCTCAAACGATCCTCCTTACTGTAATTGCCCCTGTAGTAATGGAGCCGCTGGGCATCAAGATGGATGATATCGGTACAGACGTCATCCAGGAAGCCCTGGTCATGGGAGACGATGAGCAGCGTCTTCCGCCAGCCTTGGAGGTAGCTGGGTTTTAGAGAAGAGTGTGGAAATGTCACAATGGCCAGGTTAGGGTGGAGTCAGGGGAAGCAGACAGAGCATGGGGGCAGGGAGTGAAAGAGGGGGGGCTGGAGTGAGAGGTGTCAAGGGCAGAGTGGAGACCAGCTAGAGGAAACGAGGGCAGAATGCGAACCAACGATGCAAAGGCTGTAATCAAGAGCTACTCACTTATTGAGCCAGATGACAGCGTTGAGGTCCAGGTGGTTGGTGGGCTCATCCAACATCAGCAGCGTGGGCTCCATGAATAGCGCCCTAGAGGCGGGGCAGCAGAGCGCAGAGTCAGGGGGAAGGAGACCCTTGCTCAGAGAACCCAGAGAAGCCTCTGCTAAGTGGAGCCTGAGACCATGCACACTCCTTCCCAACCTCTCCTTAGACAGTCCCCAGGCAGGAGACAGAGACAGAATACACCCCCAGGTAGGGAGAAAAGACCGAGTCTGACAAGGCAGACAGTAAGGGAGGGAGAAGACGGCTTTGGAAGAACGGGGAGAAGGGAAAGGGCCCTGGTGGACGGAGGCTGGAAGGGAGGGTGGTGAGGGGGGGCCCACCTGGCAAGGGAGACGCGCATGCGCCAGCCCCCCGAGAACTTCTGTGTGGGTCGATTCTGCATCTCAGGGTCAAAGCCCAGACCGGCCAGGATCCGGCGGGCTTTGGCCTCTGCAGCTGCCGCCCCAGTAGCCCGCAATTCCTCATACACCTGGGAAGAGGGAAAAGAGGACACATGCTGTGAGGTCCCAGGAGCCCCCAGTCTTAGCCCGTGTCCCCTGCGCCATCTCCTCTACCTTCTCGAGCCTCTCGGCAGCCGCGTCATCGCCCTGCTCCAGCTGTCCCTGAAGCTGCCGCTCCTCTTCCAACAGCTTCAAGCGCTTGGTGTCGGCTCGGAGAACAGCCTGCACGGCCGGCGTCTCATCAGCTACCACCTCTGGGGGCAGGGGAGAAGTCAGGGTGCCCCAAGGGCCAAGCCTCCGATTCCCTCTTCCCTGTAGCTGTTTCTGGTTTGCCTGACCCTGCCCAGCTCTTTGTACTTGTTCCAAATAAAATACTCTCCAGTCTCTCATCTCTTCTCCCCCTTCTTTAGCACCATTTCCCAGTCCCCAGTCTCCCCACATAACCCTTCCAGCTCTACAACCACAGTTTTTTCTATTCTTGGTTGGCTCCTGTACCCCAGTGGCAGCCCCCCTCAGGCCCCTCGGTTTCACCTCCCCATCAAGCCCCTCTCCCACCAGCGGCCTCACCCTGTTCACAAAGCAGCACGTCGATGTTGGGAGGGATGCTCAGGGCTCGGTTGGCGATGTGCTTGAGGAGAGTGGTCTTGCCCTTGCTGGGGGATGAGAGCTTTTAGGACCAGGCTGCCTCAGAGAAGTCTCTTCTCCTTCCAGCCCCGCCCCTCTCACAGCTCCAGCCCCTCCTCTCCTCACCCATTGGGTCCCACCAGCCCATAGCGGCGGCTGGCGACAATGTACAGGTCTGCGTTGACAAACAGCTCCTTGCCATGGGCGGAGATGCTGAACTTCTCCAGCTGCAGGTGTCAGGGAAGGAGCGAGCACATGAGAACTCTCCCTTCCAGACAGCAGCTGCAGCTTTCTCTCTGCAGGGAAGCCCCCTCTTCTCACCACACCGGCCCCTTCCCCAACCACTGCCTCTAATCGGAGTCTCCAAATCCTAAGCGCGGCCAGCCTGTCCCGCCTTGCTGCCCTCCAAGGGTGGACCCTTATGCTGGCTCTTCTATTTTCTCACTCAAGTTGGCAGAACTCAAGGTGTAGAGAACCGCTCCAAGCTTTCTTCCCAATGGACTTCCCATTCATACCCACTTCCTCGGTTGCCGTGGCCACTCAGGGGAAGGTGAGAAGTGGCATGTCCCTGGGTGAGCTGGTAGAGGGGCCCCCTCAGACCTTACCTTGATGTCAGATGCATTTTCTAACATGGCCTGGCGGGAAGACACCTCTGCTTGCGACACGGAGAAGTCATTTTCAGCAGCACTGGCTGCTTTTAATGAAGCCACCTGGCGCTCATACTCCATCTGAGAAGGAAGGAAAAATCACATTTGAGGCTATTGCCTGCCACTTTCCCATCACCACAATACAGCCCCACATCACCAGACACCGAGACAAGGCTCACAGAGAGCAATTATTTCCTTACTCCAACTGTTCTACTTGACAGAGCACCCAAAGCGCTCCTTCTTGTCCCCTATTTCACATGTCCCCTACTTGAAGCATTAAGGAAAAAAAAAAAAAAATCAGATTCTCCCACCTTTGACCACCAAGAACCCAAAGTTTTACCTGTTTCTTCAGCTTCTTCTTCTCCTTCTTGCTAAGGTGAGCAGAGGGACCATCAGCCTTGGACTCCCCTTCCTCCTCCTCCTCCTCTCCTTCTTCCTCTGAGCCCTGTGAGGACCAGGGCATGGTAAAAACAAGGGACCCCTTCTAGAACTCAGACTTCACATCACATACCCCCAGTTCCACAGTCAGCTCTGTCTCTCTCCACCAGGGTCCTGAAATACACTGGTGGATCCGCTCCCATTCTCATACCCGCCCTGCTCTCCTTGCAGCCCTGTATCCATTTTTGCCACCAGGAATGGTATGAGTATTTATGTATGAAACGTAATAATGTATGCGTAACTATGTACTGTAACTACGTAACTGCCAATACAGTGTAAATGAGGGTTATATGAGGTTCTTTTTCTCATGTTATCAGTGGCCTACACATTAACATGCCGGGGAAAGGTCTAGAAGCCCTAGCATACAGTCACTGAGAAATCCAGCAAAATCAGAACTAGCAAGTGCTAACGGTACGAGGGAGCTCAGAGATCACTAGATCACACAGATGAGAAAACTGAGACCCAAGGAGATGGAAAAATGTACTCAAGGTCACACAGTGAGTGGTGGCAAGAGCCAGAACTCAGACTGACTGAGGCTAACGCCCGCATCATTTCCTCTCTGGGTCAGGAGTTGCCAATGATGGCCCTTGAGCTAAGAACGGTTTTTACACTTTCAAGGAATTTTTCCAAAAATAGAAAAGAAGAAGAATATGCATCAGAGATTGTATATGGCCTGCAAAGCCAAAAATATTTATTATGTGTCCCTTTACAGAAGTTTGCCTGGGACTTCCCTGGTGGTCCAGTGGTTAGGACTCCACGGTTTCAGTGCCACGGGCCCGGGGTTCAATCCTTGGTTGGGGAACTAAGATCCCGCATGCCGTGTGGCAGGGGCAAAAAAAAAAAAAGTTTGCCAACTTCTGCTCTGGAGAATAAGAGCACCCCCAGATCCTGCCCCCTGCCCAAGGGCCACAGAGTCCTAGTCCCTCAGCCCACCTTCCCCCAACACCAAAATACAAACCTGCTCTGCCTTCTTGGCCTTCTCCTTCCCTTGCCTGGGTGGTTCCTCTTCTTTTGTTATTTCCTCTTCATTCTCCTCCTCGCCATTGTCCAGAGCAGCAAATTTATTTTGAGGCTACCAGGGAAAAGACAGCAAGTTTGATGAAACGCTCTAATTCCTGAGACCCAGCCCCTCCTCCTGCCTATACTCCCTCACCTTAGCCTTCCCCTTTGACTTCTCCTCCTTTCCCTTTTTGCCCTTGAGCCCTGGCTGTTGTTCCTGAGATACAGCCTGGAGAAGACACACACAGACACACACAAATTAATTTGCTATACTGTAGCTTAACGAGCATTTCTAAGGAGTCTAGGAGTAGCAGTTAACTATACTGAGTCTGCCAGGGAGAAAATGAGACCTAGCAAAACCCTAGTCTCCGGGTGGATAAAGATAGTGAAGAGACGACTAGAGAATATCAGCAAAGCTAAGGGACTGTGACACAGGCAAGTGAGCCACGTTGGTGAGATGGCCCTAGCACTGGAGGGCTTCCTCAAGAGGACAAATCTCGAGATGAGGTAATTGATGTGGGCTTAGTGAAGGTGTTCTAGGAAGAGGGAAGAGAAGGCATAAAGAACAAAGGTTTCAACACACAGTCAAGCTGGATGCCAAGATGTGATCAGGCTAATCTGAAAGGTATACATGGAGAAGTCCCAAGTAACCCTGCAGAGGGGTCCAAGTGGAAGGGCAAAGGCCTTTGTTTTATATTTTGAGTTTGAAAGCAACAGGATCGCTGTACATTTCCGAGCGATGAAGAATATTTTAAAAAGCTGTCTTTGGGCTTCCCTGGTGGCGCAGTGGTTGAGAGTCCGCCTGCCGATGCAGGGGACACGGGTTTGTGCCCCGCTCCGGGAAGATCCCACATGCCGCGGAGCGGCTGGGCCCGTGAGCCATGGCCACTGAGCCTGCGCGTCCGGAGCCTGTGCTCCGCGGAGGGAGAGGCCACAACAGGGAGAGGCCCGCGGACAGCCAAAAAAAAAAAAAAAAAAAAAGCTGTCTTTGACACTGTAAGCAAGACTGGCCTAGAAGAGCTAGCTGAAAAGCAAGACAAGAAGCCGGGAAATTACCACACTGTGGCCAGAGGTGCTACACGGGGTGGGAGTGACTGGCAGAGCCACCACTATCACCTTATTGATCCGATTTTTCTCTGGCTTGGCTGGCTTAGGAGGATGTTTTTCTTCCTCCTCCTCTTCTTCCTCACTCTGATCCTGAATCAGGGCTGCAAAAACATTGCCACCCTGGAGAATGAAAGGGCCAGAGAAGTCAGCGGGATGGTCAAGGCTGCACCCCTGGGGTCTCTGTCTACCACACAGATGGCTTACCTTGGTTTTCTTCCCTCCTCGGGGTACTGGGGCAGGTACTGAAATGACAAGGGGAGAAGGTGAGACAGGAAAGGAGAATTACAATGTCCTCCTCCTTAATCTAATCCAACTCCACAAGCAAGGAATGCAGCTCCTGACTCTTCATGACTAAAGGGTTCCAGGTACCCATTTCCCCTCGGGACATTTACCCTCATCCTCCTCATCACTGGCCGGCACTGAGAGCTTCTTAAGACGCTCCATGAGCTCCTTCTCCTCTCCGTCATCATCCACATCCTTTTTCCGACGGTTTTTTCGAGCGTCTCGCTTCTTTTTTTGCTGCTGAAAGCCAGTGAGAGAATGAAGCCCAGGCCGCTGCTGTATCTCTGCTCCCGAGAGAGCTCCCCGTCAGCTGAGTGAACCAGTGTGGGCTGCAGAGGGGCTGGCGGACCCATGGATGACTCCATGTAGTGGTGGGTCCCCTGACACCTGTACCTGCTGCTGCTGCTGCTGCTCCTTCTCCTTGAGCGCTTTCTTTTCTTCCCCAGCTTGTCTGTCTTCTACTGCCAGCTCTTCGAAGAACTATAACGGGAGTTAAGATCTAGGTAAACATGGCTCAGAAACCAACCAAGCCCTTCACCACCATACACGAGCCCAGGGACCTTCCACTCCATCCCACCTTGCTCCCTCTCCTGACAAGACCTCTTCCCCTCCCTTGGGCCCCCACCGCCTTCAAAGGGCCACCTTCTGCTCGGAAACACCCACAGTCCTCTCTCCTCACCGTCTTTTTGGTCTTCCTGTCCTTCTTCCCTTTTTTCACCACTTTGTCTAGAAGGTTAAGCAGACATTGTGAATGATGATTTGCAAATTCCAAAGCACTCTGATCTCTCCTGCCAAGCTCTCAGTGGTCCCCACCCTATTTACTGTTTTTCTAGCTCAACTACCACTCCCTAGACATTGGCACAAGACAGACACAAGACATTGGCCACAGACACAAGACAGTGGCCACAAGACAGACAATGGCTGGTCTAGGGTAGCAGTGGGAGGAAGAGAAGGAGAATCCACAGGGTGATGGCAGAAGTGAGAAGTAAGAGTATTCAGAGATGACTGCAATGTTTTTAGCTGGCAAAATTAGCTGGGCTAGTGGTACCATTGATTAACGCAGGATATACTGGAAGGGAAGGACCCCTCTCCCCACCCCTACCACCCATGGGGGAGAAAGGTAGGACAAAAATATGAATTCAGTTGGGGATATGTCATTTTTGGAACCTGCAGGCCATGGAAACAGCCATGTGGTAAGTCAACAAGCACCTGGGTCTATGCCACACCTGCTCCACTAGCACTTCTAGCACAAATCACTAGCTGTGACTGTACTTAATTGGGCATCAGTCCTTCATCCTAGAGAGCGACCTGAGAGGCTATTTAGCTCGTGTTCCCAGGGAGCAAAGTGGGGAGTCGATAAAAGTTTACTGACTGAACAAATTCCAGCTTCTCCTTTCTGTCCATCCCCATTTCCCTGAAGGCAGGGGACTAGGTCTAACTCCCTCCCACATCAGACTGGGAGGCAGCCAGCAGCCTCGTGACTTCTCTCCACGGCCAGGCCTGTCCACTATCACATTCGTCTCCCAACCATCCCATCTACCCACTGCTACCCAATTCTATCCAGAAGCACTCCTGCAATCACTTGGGTTCTTCTTCCCCAAAAAACCCCAAAACAAAGGCTTTCTGCTATCCACCACGTTGAGTATTCTCAGACCAGATTTCCACCTAGTCCACAGTAATCATTTATTCAGATACTGAGCATCTACAGTGTCAAAAACTGGAGATAATAAAGGACAAATGCTATAACTTAGGACCTCACAGACTAAAAGGGCGCATCCTATCTTGTCTGCTATCTGTTTCCCTATTCACACCCGTGTTCTGGACACTGGCTTCTCCCCGCTCCTTGGTTAACTCCCAGGCACGCTTATGCCTGTCTTTGCTTTATCTGTGACCTCCGTCCTGAACACATTTCAAAATCTGATCCCCATATTGGGTGACTAGCGTGATGGAACTGAAAAGATGTGCAGAAGATAATGAAAGGTTTTATAAGCTATTCCAAGGAGTGTAACCCTAAAGCCATTAAGCAGGAGGACCCACTGCAGTACACAAGAAGGAATGACATGATCAGCTCACCCTGACAACACTGAGAAGTGACTTAGACACTAAGTATCTCCAAGGACTAACACAATCACACCTCCTGACCGTAGGGAGAGATGCCTGTGCACAGGTTCAAGCGTGAGAAAGTATTATCAGCAAGGAACAGGAAAAGGCTAAGTGTGGCTAAAGCTATGCTGTATCCTCCACATCTCCCCCTCTAATGGCTCCTCCCCTTAGTAAGTACATCACTGAAGTGACTCCTAATTTCAAAGCCAAGTAAAGCACTTTTGGTAACCTTACAATCTCCTCCCCCAATTACTGTTTCTATCCTGTCTTCATTGAGTTTCAGTGCAGTCCACGCTAGCTCCACCTCCTCATCTCCCGTTCCCTTTTGAATATACTGCAACCTGATTCAGCTGTCATCTTCTAATGAATACTACTTTTCTCAAAGTTGTCACTGTCCCCTTAGTTGTTCAACCCGAAAAGGTTTCTTTGTAGTCCTTATTTTGTGTGATTACTTGGCAACATTCCATGCTACCTACCTCCTCATTCTTTTAATTCTCCTTTCCTGTTGTTACTTAGCGTCAGGGATCCTGCTTCTGCTGGTCTGCCTCTAGTTTCTCTGGCTGCTCTCCTTTCTCGGTCTCATCTCCTCAGCCTTCTTCTCTACCTTACTTCCCTTAATTGTTGAGGTTCTTTTGGGTTCCCACCTTCTATGTCTTTTCGCTTCAATCTGCATACACTCTCTAGGGGATGCCCCGTACAACTACACTCACCTGTGTCTTTACTCCTAGTCTAGAGCTCTCTCTCCACAGCCACCAAACAAACTCTCTCCTTGCATCTCCTCTTAAAATTCCCCAGAAATCTCCAACTCAGCATTCAAAAGCTGACCTTACCTCTTCCCGCTCCCCACTCTACAGCCCACTACTGCTTTCAATAAATAGCCTACTAACTGCTGCATTATTCAAGTGAGTGTCAGCCTTAATTCTTCTCCCTTGATTCAGCTGGTTCCCAGTTCCAGTCAATGTCCTGGCTTACTCTCTTACCACTTCTCACCTGGATCATTACCAGAGCCTCCTAAATGGTCTCCCTCCCTCCAACCATTCCTTATGCACTTCAATGGGTCCTCCTTCTTAATGTTTTTAGGACTAAGTTCCTTGGAGTAGTGTATAACACCTTTCATTATCTGTCTCCCGCACGTCTTTCCAACCCCATCACACTAGTCACACAATACTGGGAACCAGCCAGGCTCAACGACATCTCTACCTCTGCACTAACTGCACCCTCTGCTTGCTTAGGATGTTCTTCCCCTTGCTAACTCACACTGATCCTTCAAGAACGAACTCGGCTATCACATATCCCTGGGAGGCTTTGCTGACACTCCCGCCCTATCTGATAGATGTTGCCCCTCTCTTTTCTAGTCCCATAGCATTCTCAACACATTCATCACACTCTGTCAGCCTCTGTCTGATTAATGCTCTGTCCCCTCCACTAGACTTGCCCCTTCTCGATAGGCAAGGCTTATCTTTCATCCCTACACCTCCAGTTCTTCTGCACAGCACCAGGTACAAAGTAGGCATCCAATAAATGCCTGTAAAATTAATCACTGTATACCTACTATAATTATTTGTATCCATTTTATCTCCCTCTTGAAGTACCTTCAAGCCTGGTAGGATGTCTTCGTATTTTTTTCTCCCCTCCCCAAAGCATAGCATTTACACTGCATAATTAAAAACAGGTGCTCCATAAACATCCGCTGCTTTTAAGTAAACCTTAATACTCCATTCCAACACCCAGTGTCTATGCTCTTGCTCCAGTTCAGTCAGAAAGGTGTCTTACGAAAGAGCGCAAGGAGTCATCCTTTCTTAAGAAGCAGGTGGGATGATGGGTTCCACGGGTGAGTGTGAGAATGTGTACGTGTGTGTGTGCGCGCGCGAGAGAGGAGGTCGAGGCACAACTTATATCAATATGTAAGTGCCGGATGTGGAATACCGTGTGGTGGGGAAGATGTCCAAAAGAGAAGAAAACAGGATTTTCTCAGTTCTCCGCATCTCTCCCTCCGTACCATAAGCTCTTCCTCGTCTCTTTCCCAGTCTTACTGAAGTTCCTGCGTGACACCCCGGCACCTCTTCTTTCGCCGGCACCCCAAAAGCCCTCCGGCCAGGGCAAACTCTTCCCGGCCCCACTGAACGCATGCGCAGTAGCCCTCGCACGGCCCGGTCAGTCTCGCGCCCCGTGACTCTCTCCTAAGACACGCACACACTTCTCTCTCTTCTTCTCTTTCCTATCTCCTTCCCTCCCTGCCTACCAGCCTCACCTGTGGAGCTCGTGGTCTCTCCGTCCCCGATCCACTCGGGCTCCGGCGGCTGCTGCTTGGGCCCCTTCGGCATCGCGATGGCAGTTACCGCAATCTTGGCGGCGCCGGGCGCTATTTCCGGTTCCGGCAGCTTGGGGCCCGGAACAAGGCGGGCTCTCTACGCCTGCGCTATCGACCCCGCCCCCGGACGGCCCACGAGCGCCGTGCCATCGTCTCCGGGGAGTGCTTGCGGCGGGGGTCAGCCCACAGGGGTCGCGACAGCAAGTTTGTGACGGTTAGGGAACCCCAACGCAGTGACTCCGCGACGCCGCGTGACTAAGGACTGAACATAATAATTTCCGACTAGTATGAAAGAGTGAAGTCATCTTTTCTTTTTTTTTTGAGAAACTGAATGCTACCTTGTACCAGCCCCGTAACGTATGGTTAGGAGCAGAAGGGCGCAGTCCACCGACTCAGGAAGAGGCCTTGTCGGTCAAGTGTTGAGATGTGTCACAAATCCCGAGGTGTAGAGGTGTAAACGAGGAGGAACTCTAGCCTAACAAACAGGAATTACGGTGCGGTGGAGCTTCAGTTCACCTTTTTTTTTTTTCTTTTTTGGTAACAGCTTTTCTGAGGTGTAATTGAGTTACCATAAACTGCGTATTACAATAGACAGCCAATAAACTGCAGTGTACACTTTGATAAGTTTTGACATGTACACACCTGTTAAAACACCACCACAATATTTGGGTCACTTTTTTTTTTTTGTGACTCTTGGGATTCATTGGAACTTCCTGACTTTTTTTAAAAATTTGTTTTTACTTCTGGCTGTATTGGGTCGTTGTTTCGGTGTGCGGGCTTCTCATTGCAGTGGCTTCCCTTGTTGCAGAGCATGTGGGCTCTAGGCGCACAGGCTCAGTAGTTGTGGCACACGGACTTAGTTGCTCCACAGCATGTGGGATCTTTCCGGACCAGGGATTGAACCCGTGTCCCCTGCATTAGCAGGCAGATTCTCAACCACTGCGCCACCAGGGAAGTCCGGCCTTGGTGTTTTTAAGAGCTGGGCTGGCCCTTACATCTAGGCCATAGTGCTCTCACATTGAACATAACCTCAGAACACCCATGCCAGACAAGGACAATCTGTGACTGTGATGAAGTAAGACAGTCTATAATCTTGTGTAAGTGCAGACAAAAACAAGGTTACTATGGAAACCATAAATCCTAAACAGGTCCCTCTCAGCTAAAATAAGTAGTGGCTGCTTTTTTGCCAATTACAGCTTCAGCCATGTTTCATTTCTCCCCCCAGAGGAGACTGTGTTATCTGTGGGTTCCACATATTCGAATTCAACCAACCTAGGATCAAAATAATAGGGGAAAAAAGAAATTCCAGGAAATTCCAAAAAGCAAATCTAAATTTGCTGCATACCAGCTACTACTTACATAGCATTTATATTGTATCTATAACTATTTACATGGCATTTACATTGTATTCAGTATTATGAGTCATCTAGAGATGACAAACTATAGGAGAGGATGTGTGCAGGTTATATGCAGATATTATGCCATCTTATACAAGGGACTTGAGCATCCTTGGATTTTGGCACATGAGGGGGTCCTGGAACGAATTCCCCATAGATGCCGAGGGATGACTGTATTAAAATGTGAAATGATAGAATTGCTCCCACTTCCTGGGAGCACTCAATCTAGATTCCCCACTTCCTTGACTCTTCCCCCAAATCACAACACAAACCCTAACACAAACACAAATCCTAATCACTCCTAACCCTCTCTTAGTGAGATCTCTGCAGGTGATAAACCCAACTTTGTTTAACTAGAGGTGGTTCCTGTGTGGTCTTTGGCTGGAGGGCACTGACACTTTTACTGTCTTATTCTCTATTTCATGTCCAAATTCTAGCAGGGAGGCACTGGTAGAGGATGTTCATCCTCCTCTAATGTTTTTACCTGCTGAAGGGCCAAGACTTTGCCTAGTACGTGGCTGCCTGAATAGAGTACTTTTCAAGCCTCACTGGGGCCAAGGATTGGCCACAGGACTAAGTTATGGCCAGTGATGTGTAAGTTAAAGAGGGCATGTTAGCTTGGAGGTAATTTCCTCTGCCCTTCCTCCATCCTGAGGCTTGGAGCATGGATAAATGAGCTAGAGTTTCACTGCAGACTGTAAATAGGAGGGTCTGGCCCCAAGAATCATGGAGCGGAGAGCTAGGGGGAAGCAGGGGTTCTGAACACCTGAGGACCTTGTGGTGGCATGATTGTCACACATGCCTTGTCCTACACTTCTTGACTTGTGAGAGAAATAAACTTCTATCTTGCTTTAAGACTAATTTTGGTTTGTTACAACTGAACTTAAAACTCATAACTGGGCCATAATAGGTGCTTAATATTTAGAGTGAATGAATGTATCCACGCTCATAGCTTCAACCAGTACCTATATGCAAGTAACTCAGATTTATGTCTCTAGTTTTAATCTGAGTACCAAATCTGTATATCCAGCTACTTACTTTATATCTCTCCTTGGATGTCTTAAAACATGCAACCATTCCAAAAGCAAATTAGTGGCATTCTGCCTGTTTTCTTCTAATACCTTTTCAAACAGCACTTGGTTATGCGAGCCAGAATGACCCGACCCTGGGAAACCTAAAATACTTTCATTTTGGTCTCTTTATTTCCAAATGTTCACGTTTCTTCCACTCCGCTACCCAAGTCTATACCACCAACAACTCCCTCGGACTGCTCAAGTAACTTGCTAATGCCACTTCCAAGCCTGGCCAGCTCCATACAGAGGTCATCTTTTTGAAAAACCAATCTAATCTATGATACCCACCTGCCTAAAATTCTTCAAAGGCTTCTGTCTTAAGACCCAAATCCTCATGTTCTGCAAGGCCCTGAGTCGTCTAGCTCCTTTTCCTTCTCCTCACCTCTCACTCTTCTCATCTCCTCTTAGCAACACCTTTGCCTGGACTCTGCTCTCCCACCTCACCTCCTGCTTGTGCTCAGAGCTTGTCTCACCTGCCATCTCCCCAGACTCCGTTTATAACGTGCTCCCCCACCACGCCTCCCCTTTTTTTTTTTTTTTAAATGTATTTATTTTTTATTTATCTTTGGCTGCATCGGGTCTTTGTTGCTGTGCGCAGGCTTTCTCTAGTTGCCGCGAGCTGGGGCTTCTCACTGTGGTGGCTTCTCATTTCAGGGCACAGGCTCTAGGCGCGCAGGCTCGCTAGTTGTGGCACGCGGGCTCAGTAGTTGTGGCTCGCGGGCTCTAGAGTGCAGGCTCAGTATTTGTGGCGCACAGGCTTAGTTGCTCTGCAGCATATGGGATCTTCACGGACCAGAGCTCGAACCCGTGTCCCCTGCATTGGCAGGCGGACTCTTAACCACTGTGCCATCAGGGAAGTCCCCGTCTCGCTTCTTCATAGCACTTCTGACAGGTACTTCACGCATACTGGTGACTTTTTCACTAACGTGTCTCCTCTTGTAGATTTTCAATTCATTGATTTCAGCTCTCCATTTTCTCTAGCGTCTAGTACATTGCCTGGCCCACACACACGCTACAGATATTTGCTGAAAGATTGCTTTGTCATTACCACTCCATAAACCTCAAACCATAAATGCAGGTAAAATGTTTAAAAATTACTCCATGGATACCTGGCCTTTCCTTTTTCTCAACAAAACTTTACCCTTGAACAAAATGCAACCTGGTCGGGTTGATTCCCATAGGTTAATGGGACGCCACTGGTTTCCTCAGACTGGAAGAAACTTCTAGCCACACTGCGTATGAACTAAATGAATAAACGGACTCCAAGAAGAACAGCCTCACCTGCGCCTCCTGAGATGACTGGAACACAGGGATTAAAGAAAATGCTTGTTTCCGCTGCATTTATTACTAATATAAAAACATATTAGAAAGAAAAAATTCATTCTCAGTTCTCCAACGGCTCTCATCCCTCCCTCTTGCCCACACAACTCCTGACCCATTTCCCCAGGGCCAGTTCAAAACTGAACCTGTTCACTGCCGTTTTCACAGAAAACAACCAGTGCCAGGGATGCAGGGGAAGAAGGTTGGAAGAGGGTGACAGTACTGTCCAAGTTCCACCCACAGTTAGACCAGGTGGAGATTCACAGAATTCAAATGAAAGGGCTGGTGGCCTCACAATGACATAGTCTAACTAAAACGGGCTGGAGAGGAGATAGGGTAGAAGACATCTCTCGGGCCTGTGTCAAACCCAGAGAAACTGATACCGGGAGAATGGGGAGGACCAGGCAGGCAGCCCTGTGGAAGTTTCACAGTTCTCCCACGTCGGGAGGTGGGGAAAGTCTAGAGGCCACCAACGGCCCCACGCATTTTGGCAGAAAAACTCACTCTAGCGTTGGGAAGTCACAAAAATGCCATGGACACTGAGAAAGGCTATGAGGGGATGCACAGTCTCACAAAGCACAGTGATCACAGACCATAGCGGTGGAGATCATGCTACTGATGCAGAAACTACAAAATCCAAAAGCAGGGAACGTGGCCTCTCAGGAGTGACTCTGCACCAGTCATCCCAACTTGACCCCAGGTCAGACAAGCTGGTGAGTGTCACAGAGCAGCTGATAACACTGGGGAAAGGGGGTGTCACATAAAAACAACTTAAAACAAGCAGCGAGAAGGGAATGGTAGGAAACTGCTCCAGGGCTCTCAGGAATCCAGGGCGCTACCTGGGGCTGGGTGGACAGATGCACAAGAAACAGCACCAAAGAGGTTTCCTGTTCTACAGTCAGCTGGCGAGGGGGAAGAGGATCCAGGAGGCAGTTGAATGGAGCAAAGATGGGGTCCCGGAGACGAGTCTCTGGAGGCTGCATCAGAAGGAAGAGTGCACACCGTGCACCAGTCATGGAACACAGCTCTGCACCCCGAGTGGGGGGAGGTGGTGATGGAGCTGGGCATCACTGACTGAGGGCGACAGGTGAACGGCCTCACGGTAGCCATCACAGGGCCACAGGGAAGTATATGGCCGCCAAGTCAGAGGGCTCCTTCCAGTCTGGATGGGAAGGCACAGTCTCACAGAGGAGGTCCATTTACGCCAGGGTGGTAGAAGGCAC